CAAAGGGCCAAAATCCATTAAACAGGGAAGAGATACAGTCTTTTTAACAAATGGTTCTGGCAAAACTGGATGTCCATTTGCAGGAAAATGATGCATACTTCACATCATACACAAAAACTAATTCCATATGGATCAAAGACTTAAATGTGAAACCTAAAACTACAAAGTTCATTAGAGAAAAATAGGGGTAAACTGAGGTGCCCCAATTTATGGCACGAATAGACCATCAAGCATAACCCAAAATGCACAAATAGCGGAAGATAAACTAGATGATTGGGACCTTCCAAAAATTAAATTCTCATGTGCATAAAAAGACTTCTCCAAAAGCATAAAAAGAACCAAAAGATTGAGAAAAAATATTCAGCAATGACATATCAGACCAAAGACTTATCTCTAAAATTTATAGAAAACTCCCAACACCTCAACATTAAAAAGACAATCAATGCAGTTAAAAAATGGGCAGAAGACATGAACAGACACTTCACCAAAGATATTCTGGTAGCCAACAAACACATGAAACGTTCGTGATCATTAGCCGCCGTTATGTGCCATCAAGTTGGACCCGACTCATAATGACCCCTCCTCGGGTTTCTGAGGCAGTATCACTATGAAAGTAGATTGCCCAGACTTCCAAGGAGTGGCTAGTGGGTTTGAACCAGCAGCCTTCTGGTTAGCAGTCAAGTGCCTTAGGCACTACGCTACCAGAGCTTCTCATTAGCCATTAGATGCAAATCAAAACAAAATTGGATGCCATTTCACCCCAGCATTAATAGCAAAGTTCAACAAGACAGAAAATAAATACTGGCTAGGATCTGGAGAGACTGGGACTCTCATACACTGCTGGTGGGAATGTAAAATGATCCACCACTGTGGAAATCGGTATGGTGATTCCTTAAGTTAGAAACAAATACCATATGATCCGGCAATCCCATTACTAGGTATATACCCTAAAGAAGTGAGAGCCAGGACACGAATAGATACATGCACACCCATGTTCACTTGCATCACTCTTCACAATAGCAAAGAGACGGAAACAACCTAAGTCCCCATCATGGAAGAATGAATAAACTGTGGCACATACACACAATGAAGAACTATGCAACCCTAGAGGGTAGAATCTGCAAAACACCATATAACACAGATGAACTTGGAGGACATTATGCTGAGTCAAGTAAGTCAATCACAGAAGAAGAAATACTTAGTCCAGTATTATAAAAATCAAGGAATGGTTTATAAATGGAAGGAAACTTTCTTTGTTGGTTATCAGGGATGGGAGGGAAGTGGAGGGAAAATTCCTAGATAGGTTGGAAATAAATAAATGTATAAACCAAAGATGATTAGTAATTAGCAGGGGTAGGAGGGGGAAAGGGAAAGTTTTTGTTTGCAGATTACTGAGTTTATGCTAATGGCGGTGGAATATTTTGGAACAGGATAGCAACATGAAAAATGTCATCAATGTCCCTGAGCTTAAATGTGGAAGCTGTTATGTTGGTGGATGTCTTGTATGTTTTCACTACAGTAAAAGTAAAAATCAGAACAAAAAAATAGCCAAAAGATGTCTTCCTGTGTTTGACTATGCAAAAGCATTCGATTGTTTGGATCATAATAAATTAGATAACATTGCAAAGAATGGGAATTCCAAAACACTTAATTGTGCTCATGAGGAACCTATACACTGATGTACATCTTGGCTATCATTTGAACAGAACAAGTGGCTTCTACATGGTTTAAAATTGGGAAGGGTGTATGTCAGGGTTGATCCTTTTACCATACTACCCAATCTGTATGCTGAGTGAATAATCTGGGAAACTGGACTACATGAAGAATGCAGCATCAGGACTGGAGGAAGGAAAGCTCATTAACCCACAATATGCAGATGACACACCCTTGCTTGCTGAAAGGGAACAAGACTTGAAACACTGGATAAAGATCAAAGACTCCAGCCTTCAGTATGAATTACATCTCAGCATTGGAGCTCTGGTGGCCTAGTGCCTGAGGCATTTGACTGCTAACCAGAAGGCTGGCACTTCAAACCCACCAGCCACTCCTTGGAAGGAAGATTGGGCAATCTACTTCCATAGGGATGCTACCTCGGAAATCCAAGGAGAGGTCACTATAGATCAGATCCGACTCAATGGCAGTGAGGTTTTGGTTTTTTTTTTTTTTTGGTTTTTGGTATAAGGAGGAAAAAAATGCTCACAATTGGACCAATAAGCAACATCACAATAAATGAAGAAGTTGTCAGGGATTTCATTTCACTTGCATCCACAATCAACACCCATGGAAGCAGCAGTCAAGAAATCAGACAATGTATTGCACTGGGCAAATCTGCAAAAGACCTATTTAAAGTATTAAGGAGCAAAGATGTCACCTTGAAAACTAAGGTGCACCATGTATGAATAATAGTTGACAATGCATGTGAACAGGTCAACAATGAATAAGGAAGACTGAAGATGACTTGATTCCTTTGAATTGTGGTGTTGGTAAAGAATACTGAAAATATCATAGATAGCTAGAACAAACAAATCTGTCAGGGTAGAACTGCAGCCAGAATGCTCCTTGGAAGCAAGAATGGCCAGACTTCGTCTCACCTACTTTGGTCACGTCGTCATACGGCACACGTCCCTGGAGAAGGATACCATGCTTGGTAGAAGGTCAATGAAAATGGGGAAGACCCTCAGTGGGATGGATTGACACAGTGGCTGCAACACAGCAAGGCAGTGTTCCACAGCATAGTTGACATTAGCACTCAGTCTTGTACAGTTCTGTGTTTTGATGAACACATGCCATATATCCACTACTAAAGTACTGTACATGAGTTTCATGGCCCCAAATATCCTGCGCTCCACCTATCCATCCTTCTCTCCATCCTTCCCCGAACCCCTGGCAACATTTTAATTTCTCACTATTTGTAGTTTTGCCTTTTCCAGAATGTTGGAATCATACAGTACATAGCCCTTGGGGGCTGGCTTCTTTCACTCGACAGTATTCACTTAAGAGTCTTCCATGTCTTACCCTGGGGCTTGACAGCTCATTTGTTTTTATTGGTGAATATTAATAGGCCAATTTGTTTATGCATTCACCCAATGAACATCTTAGTGCCTTCTAAATTTTGGCAATTGTGAATAAAGCTGCTATAAACATTCCTGTGCAAGGTTTTGGGCAAACATAATTTTCAATTCACTTGAGTAATACCTTGGTCCTTGATTACTAGATTGTATGGTGAGACTATGCTTAGATTTGTAAGAAACTGCCACACTCTTCGAAAGTGGCTGTACCATTCTTCATTTCCCACCAGCAATGGATGAGAGTTCCTGTTGCTCTAAGTCCTCACCAGCATTTTGTCCTTGCTTTGCACTTTAGCCATTCTTAAAGGCTTGAGTATTGCTCCAAAGACACATTTCAGAGGAACTTCCAGACTAAGAAGAAAGGCCTAGAGATCTACTTCCAGAAATCAGCCAATGAAAACCCTACAGATCCCATCGCTCTGATCTGCACACGATTATAGGGATGGTGCAGGACCACACAGTGTTTTGTTCCTGTGCATAGGGTGGCCATGAGTTGGGGAATGACTCAATAGCAACCAACAATAGATGTGTACTGGTATCTCACTGTTGCATTTTAATTCACAATTCTCTAATGACAAATGATGTTGAGCATCTTTTCATGTTTACATGCCATCTGTATCTCTTCTTTGGTGAGGTATCTGGTCAAATCTTTTACCTCTTTTTGAGTGGATTGTTCTTCTTACTGTTTAATTTTAAGAGTTCTTTGTGTATTCTTTTATTTGATCTGTGTGTTTTGCAAATATTATCTCCCAAACTGTAGCTTTTTTTCATTCTCTTAACTTTCCCAGAGCAGAAGTTTTTTTAATTTTAATGAACTCCCAACTTGACAATTCTTGCTTTCATGGATTATGCTTTAAATGTTGTATTTGAAAACTCATCACCAAACCCAAGGTCACATAGATATGAAAAAGGCACCCATGTGCAAAATATATTCAAAGTTTTTCTTTAGGCTCTTAAATGTTTTTCTATAGCTGACGATGGCACACACTGCAAATAAGACTTGCTAAGTCTTGGGTCTTTTTGTAATTTTCCTTCAGAACAACAGCATCCGATGTCAAAACTTTATATAAAAAGGGCAATGTCAATAACATTGATAAACTTGGAGGACATTATGCTGAGTGAAATAAGTCAATCACAGAAGAACAAATATAGTATTAGTTCATTATAAAAAGTCAAGGAAAGATTTATATATGGAAGGAAACTTTGTTGGTTACCAGGGGTAGGAGGGGAGGAGGGAACACTGCCCCCCCCCAAAAAGCACTGACCCATGGCACTTTAGTTATGTGTATTTCTCTGTACATAAATTATATTTCAATAAATTTTTTTTTTTTAAAAGGGCAGTGTCAAAACTTTGAGTTCTCATAATGGATCCTGAAACTAGTTCTCTTCCTAGAGTTGGCTAGAATATTTGAGAAGGCACAGCTAAGAATAATGAGTGGGAGGATGAGAGGGCAGTGAAATGAGATCTTATGCATCCTTGGCCTTTCTAACATGTTCCGTCCACCTTATTAACCTAGGAACTGCCTTCCTGCTGTACTTGAGATTCAGGGATAATAATGCTGGCAGCACCACTTTATGTAAATAAGTTAACTAGATGAGCACACATTAATAACAAATAAAGCCTCCAGACAGGCATAAAGTTTATTAACATCGTGGGGGAAAAAAAAGGATTGAACAGAAAATAGCTATCGAATATGGGATAGTTCCTTATTTACAAGTTCTACTTGGAGAGGTACAATTTAATCAGTATTTTCAATAATCAAAGGAGTAGAATTTTTTTTCAAGAAATACCAATATTTCACTCTCCAACTAAATGATTACTGAAAACATTATGTGACTGTCCCATTCAGAAGTAGACAAACTAATACCTTAGAAATATACAAAAAAAGGTAACTGCTACACAAATGTGCATTTTCACAAAATTATTCTGCATGGCTTACTCAGACAATTTGTTTCCTTAAAAAAGTTGGCAAAAGAAAGGAAACAAAAAAAAAAAGCAACCTACATGTACATGCTCCCAAGTTTGTTTAAAAAGCAAAGTCAACTCAGGGTTTCCAGAGCTTTAGAAGTCCATCTTCACTGTAGGTAGCAATCAGGTTCTGATGAGGGTGATGGGCAATACCAATGACATCCTTCTCATGAACCTGGAACAAGGAAAGCACAGGGTTAAAGCATATCGTTCCACAGCAAGTCTCCCTGAAGAGGCTCCGCAAACTGGATGGGAGGAAAGAAAAGAGAACTTCGTACTTCTCACTGAAACAGCCATGCCCAAGATGGCCTCACCTGGAGTTCAAGGAAAACTAGAAAAGGGGAAGCATTAAGAGGTTAAATGAACATACACAAAGCAAGAATCAAGTAAGACCATGACCTTTCCATTATAATTTTCCTACTGTTTTTCATTATGTGTGACTAACAATGCTTTGTCCCACATCGTTTTTACATTATAGCTAATCTTACTCATTCAAAACCATTCTGCAAATTCTAGGTCAAAACAGTGGTTGACAACAAATGATTCCAACAGTTCAGTGAACCTGCATCTTCTAGGCCCCTGAGCTGGAGGACATTCTAGCCTCATCCTGTTTTGCTCACATCTTAAGATTTGTACCTGAGGCTTCACAGAACAGTTGTACCAAAGCCCACTCCATAATAATTTCAAAAGAGAGATCATTCTCTGACATGGGCATGTATTGTTTCATGTTCACCATGCCATTCTTCTTCCCAAACCACAGTAACTACTATATTTGGGGTTGTGGCCATGTGACTAAACTGTGACCAAAAGAATGAAGAACAAAGAAATATAAGCCTCTTCCAGATGTGGGTCTTAAAAACAGTAAAACAGTATAGCCTTCCAACTACCTTTTCTCCTCCTGAGATTTTAGATGCCACCTATTCCAAATGGCACAGCTAAAGACAGAGGAGGGCTACCCAACTCACATCATGTTGTGACATAATAAGAAAGAAGCTTTTACTGTGTTAAGCCAATCTGGGAATTGTTGGTGTTAAATCTGTAACAGACTCTCCTTGAACTGACACTCAAAACACAGAACCGAAGTTTTTAAAACATCACAATCAATATGATAGGATAATGTACAAGTAATCTGCATTCAAAAGGACATGGAGAGAACTAGCTTCATTTACCACTCTCCAGTCCCCATCGGGCAGCTCTGGCTAGTCCCACCAGCTAATCTAGATTGGAGTGCCTCCTTCCTAGTCTCTGTTCTATTACAGCCATCCTATCTCCCTGAAGATGAAGGCTCACTGAAGGATGGCTATTTCTGGCAAAGCAGCTAATTCCATACAATAATTTATGGGTTCTTTATTTAGTGATAAAATGCCTCCTTTTTATACCTAGATTCACCATGATAGCAATCAGGAAAAGGTATGTACTTCAGAGTTCAGAAAGACAAAAGCATTCCGAGGCAGTATCACTATAGAAGTAGATTGCCCAACCTTCCTTCTAAGGAGTGGCTGGTGGGTTTGAACTGCCAGACTTCTGGTTAGCAGTTAAATGTCTTAGGCACTACACCACCAGAGCTCCCATAATTTCTACAGATGACCTTAAATCGGTAATACTCACAGTCAGAGTTCTCTCCAGCTTGCCAGTGACAGTGCTGAAGCAGTAGAGCACAAAGTCCTCGCCCACACAGTAGATCCACTCACCACGGGGGGAGAGGGCACAGCAAACAAAGTCACCACCTTCTCTCTTACCAGAGCTGAAGCTTCTAACAATCTAGATAACACCACACACCAGGGCAAAAAAAACACCAAAATATCTGGATTAGCGGCGCTTTACTATATGCATCATTTTAAAAGGACATTTTCACATTGTTATTTTGTACTCTTCATTTACTTCATTTATAATTAGATCTCGAATTCCATTCATCACATGCTAAATCCTCTCACCTGGGAAATACTCAACAGAGAGTTATCTAAAATCAGCAGCAGACAGAAGTTTAGAATCCTATGTCCCAAGTCACCAATCCTGCTCCTTAGTCTACTGAGTCATACTGCACTGAAGCACGCTCATTACCATACAATTTTCCAAATTAACCACCACCAGCTCTCAATGCTTTGTGGATGTGTGCTCCCGTTTCCTCTAACAGAGTAAGATACACATCCATGTAGGATTGAACTATCTCCAAAACCTTCCATGCTCTCTATTCTATACCAAAAAAAAAAAAAAAAAAACTAACTACTGTCGAGTTGGATCAGACTCACAGCGACCCCTCCTTGGGTTTCCAAAGCAGTTATCACTATGAAAGTAGATTGCTCCATCTTCCTTCCGAGGGGTGACTTGTGGGTTTGAACCACCAGATTTCTGGTTAGCAGTCAAACACCTTAGGCACTACACCACCAGAGCCCCTGCTCTATTCTACAGAACATGAAGTTGTGTTGTTGTTGTTGTTATGTGCCTTCGAGTCAGACCCGACTCAGAGCAACCCCTTCCTGGGTTTCTGAGGCCGTATCACTATGGAAGTAGATTGCCCAACCTTCCTTCCAAGGAGTAGCTGGTGGGTTTGAACCACCAGCCTTCTGGTTAGCAGTCAAGTGCCTTAGGCACTACACTACCAGAGCTCCCAACATGAAAGTCATCATAAATTAAACTGAGAGAAATCAATCTCAAAGGTTACATACTGTATCATTCCATTTACATGACATTTTCAAAAGGATAAAATTATAGTGATGGAAAACAGATCAGTGGTTGTCAGGGTGGGAGGAGAGTGTGACTGTAAAGATACAGCATAAGGGAGTTTCTTTGAGGGTAATGAAGCAGTTCTGCATCCTAACCATGGTGGTGGTTATACAACCTATGCGTGTGATGAAATGTCATACAACTATTACCTCCTGCCTCAAAAAAAAAGGTGCATGTAAAAAGTAGTGAAACCCAAATAAGGCCCATTTTTCAGTTAATAGAATTGTACCAAGATCAACTTCCTGGTTTTGATCATTGTACTAGGATAACTAAGATGGTACTGTTAGGAGAAGCTGGGGGGAAGGGTACACAGGAACTCATCACATCATTTCTGCAACTCCATGAGAATCTAAAATTATTATTACAAAATAAAAAGTTAAAAAAAAAAACTCAAGCAGAGAACTATGATATGTGCTCAGCAGATGCACTGGGTCCAGCAAATACTTCAGGCCAGTCAACTCAGCCATGGAGTCTCAACTATTTCATCAGTTGTAAGAACTCAACTGTTGGGATGGGGAGACTATTCCTAGCTCCCTGGGTCTTCTTCATGCTCGGAAGGACCCTCAAATGTCTAGGCCAACATGTCAATAGCACCATGATACATGCTCAGGGCTTGAAACTCAACCTTGATGCTGCTAATGCCTCCACGCTACCTCGCAGTCCACAAAAGTGAGGTTCTTGCGAACCATGCAGATGTCCTAATTTCTTATTACAAATACACATCATTAGGACCTGCTGCCCTTCCCCTATTAAGAGTTCTACCTTAGATCATGTGGTAGCTAGATGTCCCGAACTAGTAATCCCCACCATGTGAGACTTCCCTTCAGAAAGGGACTGCTACCTGATAACTTGCACTGAGGTTTTGAAGAAGACTTAAAGACAGATCAGAGGCTCATTTATCCAAAGGATATAAAAGAAAAAACATAACATATTAACACTCGGGCGGAAGGAGATAATTTTTGAGACACCAAAGAAATACTTTGTAGAACTACAATTCAAATAAATGTCTGAAAAACAAATACAGTGCATATGGTTTATGGAGTAGTAAAACTATATTTGGTCACTGCTGTATACTGGGAGGGCCAGAAACAGGACATAGTGATTTGGGAACAACCCACAGATCCTGTGCAAAAGTACTTTCTGAGCACTCACCTGCCCCTGCATGTTCATGATGACCACTGTGTTTGATCTGTTGCACACCACGAAGTGCTCTGGATTTTTAGGAAGCAGGATCACACTGTTGACTGTAATGTCTGTTCCTGCAGTGCTGCCCAGGGATTTAAAGGTATTTGAACATTCTGTGGTCTTCATGTTCCAAATCTACCACACAAAAATTTAAGACACAGATATATTTTTTAAATGTAAGAATTTCTAAAGTTTAAAAGATTGAAAATTAAGACACTAAAAAGAGTAAAACTGACTCAGGGAAAAAGCTTACTTGATTTTTAAGTCCAAATACCCAGTAACCACTTACCTATTTGATGACTGACATAAACAAAAGTCACAAAGCTAAGTAGTAACAGCCTTTAAAATCTATAAGCTTTTCTTGCAATTTGTTGCTTGGCTAACAGAGATACCTATCTGTAAAATGAGCTTCGTGTCAACACCGCCACTGTCATACACAACCAGAAAGTTATCCTTGTCTGAGGATCAAAATCAAAATCAAACAGGTACTTCACACTCATGGAAACAGCCAATACCAGAAAAACAGACAACAGGTGTTGGTTAGGATGTAGAGAAATTGGAACCCTCATGTATTGCTGGTGGAAATGTAAAATGGTACATCCACTGTAGAAAACAGTTTAATAGTTCCTCAAAAATTTAAACACAGACATACCACGTGACCCAGCAATTCCACTCCTAGGTATATATACAAAAAGTTTAAAAGCAGGGACACAAAAAGATACTTATACAACAATCCTCACTGAAACATTATTCACAATAGCCAAAAGGCAGAAACAACCAATGTGTTCATCAACAGATAAACAAAATGGGCTATGTGCACACAATGGAATTATTCAGCCATAAAAAGAAAAGAGGTCCTAATACATGCTACAACATGGATAAACCTTGAAAACATTATACTAAGTGTAAGAAGCCAAACACAAAATGATAAATATTGTGTGATCTCACGTGTATGAAATATCTAGAATAGGCAAATTCAAAAAGACCAAAGTTTATTAGTGGTTGCCAGGGGCTAGGGAGGAGGAGATGGAGAGTTATGGTTTAAAGAGTACTTAGTTTTGTTTGGGGTGACAGAAAAACATTAGAAACAGTAGTGATGGTGGCATGACATAGTGAATGTAATTAATATCACTGAATTGTATACTTAAAAGCAGTTAAAATGGAAAAAAATTTGTTTTATGTATTTTATCACACACATACACACACACACACAATGTAAAATACATGCATTTTTCTAAAAAAGAGAGCTTTTTAAATTCCCATGCTTGGAACCCTATCTTGAGATACTGATTTGGCAGGCCTGGGGCAGGCTCCCACAATACGGAGTTTCCTAGACAGATCCAAACAATTTGTGGGATTAGATTACTGGATTAGAAGACTTGGGATCATACTCTCGGGGGACAACTTAGTCAATAGGCATATCGTAATTCACAAAGATAATGCTCTACATCCTAGATTGGTGAGTAGTGCCTGGGGTCTTAAAGATTGCAAATGGCGAAGATACAACTATTGTTTCTACTCACATGGAGCAAAAGAGAATGAATATAACCAAAGGCTCAAAAAGAAACTAATCCACAGGACTAACCACAGTTCACACAAACCACAGCCTTCTCTAACCTGCAGTGAGAAGAATTAGGTGGTAACCAGCTACCACCACTGACTATTCTGACCAGGGACACAATAGAAAATCCCAGACAGAATGAGAGAAAAATGCAAATAACTGAATTCATAAAAAAGGCCAGACTTACTGGAGCTCTGGTGGCACGGAGCCTAAAGGAATCTGACTAGTTAACCAGAAGGCTGGTGGTTCAAACCCACATGCCACTCCTTGGAAGGAAGACTGGGCAATCTATTTCTGTAGTCATACTGTTTCAGAAACCCAAGGAGGGATTGCTATGAGTTGGATCCGACTTGACGGCTGTGAGGTTTTTTTTTTTTTGATTGGACTGATAGAGACTAGCTGAACTCCTAAGACTATCACCCTAAGGTAATCTTTGAACTTGAATTTGAAGCTATTTCTATAGGTCACCTTTCAACCAAATAATAGACTGGGTTATAAAATAAACAGTATCACTTTTAAGTAATGTGCTCCCTTAAAACAACTACATGATACCAAACGATCAACATTTACCATAAAGCAAAATGAGAAAACAAAGAGGGCAAGGAAAGCTAGATCAATGCAAACAGAACAGAATAGAAAAAATGAGAATGCTGACATACTATAAAAATTATAGCCAATGGCACAGAACAATTTACGTAAAAATTATGTTAAAGGGGACGCTGTTAGATGGATAGAGATAAATATTGATTTGGGTGAAGAGAAGGGCAATATACCAAATGTGAGCGACCAATATGGCAGCATTGAGGATGAGAAAGACATAGAGAGGTACATGGGAAGTACAGACAACAAATATGAACCCTTTTGCATATACAGTACTGAGTTGT